CTCAATAATTCCAAAATAGTATGAGATTCCAATAAACTCATCAGTTACTCTCAACATATATCCCATATTTCATAATTTCTATTATTTCCAATAAATCCAATGAATTCAAGATAACTAATATCTCCAAGGAAATTCACAATCTCCATAATAAATCACCAATTTTCACATTATTCCAACAATTTAATCCTATTCAAAAATCACATTTTTCATTTCTCAAATTTTCTAGGGTTTGAAAAAAATTTAGAGTTTTCTCAATTTAAATATAACCAAGGTTTTAAATAACGGTGGCGGTTGCTGAAATGGTAGCGGTAATGCAAACGCGGTTGCGGGGTGTAACTGCCATTGTGTAACGGTGGCGGCAACTGGAGCCGTGAATTTTTTAATTCTTCGCACAACTTTAAGAAAGCATACCCATATGCATGTTTTTATTTCAAAATCACATTTAGTGAGGCTCAAAATGATTTTTAGTATTTTTGTTTAGTTTCAAAAAATGATCCAATATATATATTAATTTTTATATTAGTTTTAAGTTGCTCTAAAAAAATTTCCTATTGTTAAATTTATTTAATTTTTGTTACTTTACTAATTATAATTATGGATAACTTTTCCGATTTGTTAAAAAAATGAATATTAAAAACAACAGTCTCACAAATAGAAATTCAAAATACAAAATGTCAAACATAATAATGTAAAAGTACGTAACATGAAATCTAAATTTTGTTCAATAAATTTAACGTAAGAGAAATATATTAAGTTCATATGCAAATATAATTAAGTAAAAAAGTAATTAAACCCTGTAGAATTTGAAGATTGGACATTCAAAATATATATAGATAAGATTTTTACTTAAGTTCTACGTAACTAGAAAATAAAAAGAGAAAATAGCAATATATGCTAAATTTATATAAAAAATTATATATATATATATATGTTTAACGGCTGTAACAGTATTGTAGCGGCAATGTAACGGCCGCTACGGCCTTTACGTAACGATGGCGGCCGTTGCGGTCATGAATTTTTGTCACATCACTGTAGCGGTCATAACGGGTAGCGATAACCACTACAATTGTTACATAACGACGTTAGTAATAGTTTTATATACCATATATCATTTTAGGTAGAGAATTTTAAACATTTGATAAAATATGAGAATCCTAATTTTTATACAATATATATATAATAAAAAACCTCAATTTCTTCAAAATCATAACTAACAAAAAAATACCACATAATCAAGGTAAAACAAATATACAAAGTGGAGAAGAAAAGTCTCAAAATCAAATGCATCAGAAACGCGATCGGCTTAGGTCAAACCTCAACACACTCTATATTCCGTATCAAAATAGCAAGGTGAGATTCTAACTCTAGATATGGTGGATCGAATGTTTTGTGTGATAATAAAAAAATTATTTAAAAAGGGGAGAGACAGAAGAAAGGAAGAGAAAGAGAGACAGACAGAGAAGAAAAAAATGGAAGGAAAGAAAGAAATGATTGGATTTGTGAACTTCACATTATTGGGCAAAAAAATGCCCCTCATTGATCTACACAGCAAGAGTTTCTTTCTTCAGCACCATTCAGCTTGTTTGGTTCCACTGAAATTATTTTTTTTTTATTTTTTAAAAAATTAAAATTTTTTGTTTTTTATTATTTTTATTTTCACTGATTTTTTTTAATATTTTAAGTAATTTTTTAATTTTTAAATACACTTCATAAATATACTTAAAAAGTAAAATATTTGTGAAAAAAATATTTAAAAAAATCACTAAATACCAAAAATATTTTTTAAAAAATACGAAAATTCAGTATATTTTTATATTCTTGTGTATTATTGATTTTTTTAAAATATTTTATTTTTTAGATACATCTAAGTAAGGTACATCTAAAAATGTAAAAAAAAAAAATATTGTTTAAGATTTTAAAAATATTCACTAAAAATTAAAAAATACAAAACATAAAAAACCCTATTTTCAAAAAATTAAATTTGGAAATTAAAATCAAACACAGTGATTAGCTTTGTCTAGTTTGATTGCCGGAGGATAAGCAAGTTTGTTTGCTTGATCTCTCTAGTAGTTAATTGTTAGCTTTTGTTTTCTTTTTTTTTCTTTCTTCTTTTTTTGAACTAAGCTTTTGTTTTCTTGGCTTGGGCCCTATCTTACCACAAAAATAAATAAATAAGTAAATTACATAACACCCCTAAGATTAATGTTTAATACAAATCCCTTCCTTACATTTGAAAAATTATATTCTTCTTGAGATTTGTAATCTCATGACAAATTACCTCTTAAATTGTTGTTGTCATGTTCTAAAATTTTCTAGATGACCATCTTGTTCTTTTTTTATCAGTTTTTCTTCTTATCATCATGACAACATTCTACAACTTTTCATTATTAAATTCCACGTAAAAATATTCTTATTCAATAATAATATACAAACATAAATTTTATATAGAATTTTCAAACACAATGATAGCTCACCTTTCACTTTAAAACAAAACACGCATAAATATAATTTATATTTATAACAATATCATTATCATAACATTTTTATGATTTTTTTGTATAAATTTTTATATATGAATATAATTTTTTATTTTTATTTCCACCACTATACTTAGATTAGATCAATTTAATCTAGATATATTTAAAAGTATAAAATTTATATAAGAAAATAAAAAAAAATCATTGAATACAACAAAATAAGATAATATATTGAATTTTTATTTTTTTATTTTATTTTTTTGTATTTGGTGAATTTAAAAAAAAATACAAAATATTATAATTCTGAAGTATATCTAAATTAGGTGTATCTAAAAAATTTTAAAAATTTGGTTAAAATGTTAAAAAAAATTCAGTAAAAATAAACAAACTTAATTTTTTTATGTGAGTTAAATCTACGAAGATGATTGTTATTTTCTTTGAAATGACATGAACAAAATATATATATTATTATATGTATAAAAGCTAAAGGACAAATATGTCATTTTAATTTGACAAGAAAGTAAGTGTAATTTTTCAAATATAAAGAAATCTATATTAAACAGAAATCTCGAGAATGTCAATGTAATTTAGCCAAATAAAAAAAAGGGAGCACCCCACGTGGTCTCTGCTCTCCCATCAAAACTTTATTTATTTATTAATTGTTATTATATTTTATAATATCTATCTCAATATCTATATCTATATATATATATATATATATAAAATAACAAATACAATTTTAATAACACTATAATATTGTGACATAAATAATAAAATGGTATAATTGTTTCCTCATTACAAAATATATTTTTTTTGATTGTTACACATTATAAATATCCATAACTCTCTCATAGTAGTAAAATAAATAATAATAATAATAATAATAAATCTAGAGAGCCTCCTAATTTTATTGGAAAATTTATCATAATCCACTTGACACAACCTTGGGCGCTATTTTATTTAAAAAGAAAACAAATAAACAAACAAACAAAGTGCTCCATAAGATTTTTTTTTTATTTAACTTCTTTTTTTTTTTCTTTCGTTTAGTATAAATAAACTTAGATCAAACTTAGATCTCTTCGTCTGCGCATGGGATACATTATTAGATAAACTTTATTTGGTTGTGTTATTTTTAACTTATTTTTAATTAATTTTTTTCAAAAATTAAAAATTAGTTTGATAAAAATAATTACCAAAATTAAAATTTTAAAATTTCCAAAACTATTTTTCACCCCAAAAGAGAACCATATCAAAATAATGAGTTTTTTTTTTCAGAAAAAATTATGAAAATTGAATAAGGGGTTTTATTAAATTTTTAATGGTAAGAAAAGGCAAAAAAAATGTTGATATTTAAAAATAAATTTATTCTTTTGCATATTGTTCTTTGCAAATTAGGGTTGTAGCACAAGTTCCAAAAAAAAAGTTTAAAAACACATAAATTAATCCTCTCAAGTGATGGGTCACATCTTTTGTAAATTTCGTACTTACATAAAAATATATATATATATATATTTTCAGTTCTATAATTAATTTTTGTACAAGAAAAAGAATTATTCCTACTAAACAAAAAAAAAAAACAAAACAAAACAAAAAAGCGTTTAAATAATAATAAAAAAAGCCTTTACGGTGCACTTTCTTTTTTTTTTCTTTGTTTTTGTTTATTTATTTGTTTGCTTCCAAATAAAAGAATCCCCACGTTAAGGTGGCTGTCATGTGGATTATGATAAATTTTCGGATGAATTTTCGGATAAATCTGCGAAGCTCTCTAGACTTATCGACAATAATAAGTACAACTGGTAATTATAAATGAGTTGTCACTCAATCAATTAAGTTAAAAAATAAATCAAATTTAATAATTTAAAATAATTTATCAAATGAGACTAGAATATGAAATAACTTTAAAAGGACTCAAGGTCATCCCAGTGTTCATATAATTAAATATGAGCCAAAATAATTAAATATGGAATAATCAAATAAAACTCAAAAATTAAATTTATATTCAAATCTAGTATCCTTTTTGAACGGAGATTTAATACTTAAGACTCAAGAATAATTAAAAAAAAAAAAACTGTCAAGCGGACCTCACGAAGTTGAAATAAAAAAATAATATAATTTATTTTTATCAATTTAAATAGAATGGTCTACCATATAACAAACATAATTAAGCAATTTAGAAATTCATATCAATCTAACTCTAAATAATATCCGAACTCAAAAACACACTAAAAAATTTTGAACGGAGATTTAATACTTAAGACTCAAGAATAATTAAAAAAAAAAAAACTGTCAAGTGGACCTCACAAAGTTGAAATAAAAAAATAATATAATTTATTTTTATCAATTTAAATAGAATGGTCAACCATATAACAAACATAATTAAGCAATTTAGAAATTCATATCAATCTAACTGTAAATAATACCCGAACTCAAAAACACACTAAAAAAATTATTAAACAAGTATGGATAAAAAAACAAATTGAGTTTAGATTCAACTCGTTACAATCTGAAGTCAAAGAAGCATACCTTATTGAAGAGAGGTTGAATAGTATCGTAATTGCTATCCGATGTATTGCAAAAACTATTGAGCATTGGTATCTCGCAGAGTTTCAGCTCGTTCAATTGCAGCAACTCAATTCCATTCATAACCTCGCAGATGGCAGTAAAACTTGGCAGGCTATCAAGATACAATTCCTTTAGTTTGGGAAACACAATTTTATCTGTTGTTTCTGTTGTTGTTGATGCTATCTCATTTTGATCTCCTTCTTCTTCACTTGAAATAAGTACTTCCATCTTACGACAAGCACATACATGAAGTATCTGTAGTTGCATTAGATCTCTGGCTATGGATAATGAGAACATCCTTTCCAGTTTATGACAGCTCTGCAGTTCTAGAGAAGTTAGGTTGTGGAGCCGTACAAGTTGAGTAGGACCCTTCCACAAATGTGTCAATGCGGGCAAGTCCTGTAGTTTCAGCCTTTTCAAGGCACTGAAGGCCTCCTCCGGTAGTTGGCCATGACAAATCTCTTTCAATTTATCTAAATTTTCGAGACATAGCGACTGCAACACAGGGAAGGCTATTTGTGGAACTGGAACCCCATCTGTTGTGTCAATGACATATTCCAGATCCTGACAACTTTGCAAGGACAATTCTGTTAATTTTTTGAAACCATCTTTGTCTAAATCATAGCCAACATTCTTCACACCTACTGCTCGTGTTAATTCTACAATTTTAGTGATCTTGAGAAGATTCTTGAACTCACTCTCCATAAGATCGCTCTCGTGAAGATCCTCGAGACTCAACTGGTTTTGTAACTGATAATCACGACAATCTCTAGTGCCGATCATCCTCTGAGATAAATAGCTATTTCGGTACTCAATGCTTATAGCGAATGCTTTTAGATTCGTAAGGACCAAGTCTCTTGGCCAGTATGCAAAATGCCGTAGGTGAATGACCAAAGTTGTAAAATTAGACAACCCACACAACTCAGTCAAAGTCGCTTTAGTCCTGTATACATCATTAAAGCTAGACCCAAGATACAACTCTTCTAGCTTTGATAAGCTCGACAGAACACCTGGGCAAATCGTCTTCACATCACATCGCAACAAATCCAGTAGCTTCAAGTGACTAAGCCGACCTATTTCTTTTGGCAACTCCTCGATTTGGGTGCCTTCGAAACTCAAAATTTCTAGATTCTCTAACGCTCCTATTACAGATACATCATTGATCAGTCCGCATTCGTATAATGACAAGCTTCGGAGGTTGGTCAACCATCGCAGGGATGTCGGCAGTGATCCTTTTATGTACACATTCAACATGCTTAAAGCTTTGAGTTCCTTCATTCCTCCGTAGAAACTATCTGGGAGATTTGGTAGTTTTGATGCATAATTGTCCTCTAGCCGTAAAAGATGGAGTTCTGGAAATTCTAGATTATCAGGCAGCTTGCTCATACCAGTGCATCGCAATGAAATTACAGCATAATTTTTGTGTCGTTCTTTCTCCGGCCATTCTTTCAATGCTTCGTCACATCTTACCATAAATGAATGCTCCTCCCTAGATGCTATTGATATAGCAACATCACGAACTACATCATGGATTTTAACACAACCTTCTTGTTCACCATCCATCAAGAGATAGCCTTTTTTTAAGTCATCGACAAAGGCATGTACTCTGTCTCTTGCTTCGTTGACACTATCAATGGCCTCAAACATCTCTATCCCAACTCCATATCTAACGAGATCTTCAATTGGAATATTAAAATCTTCAGCATATAAGGAGCAGAGCAAAAAGCATTCCTTAATTTCTCTACTTCCTAAGAAGTTGTAACTCAACTCCAGAGATTTAAACACATTTTCTTCTACTTCCCTGATGTTTTTTACCATGGACTTACGTAACTGTAGAAGGGCTGAATTCCATGACTGCTCATCTTTACCTTTGAGTGCCCTCGCAACTGTAACAATAGCAATCGGCAAACATCCACATTCATCCGCAACTTTCTTCTGCGTGATATACAAATCAGTACTTGTGTGACTTGTGTGGTTGGAAATTCCAGCCATCTCCTGAAAGAGATTCCATGCTTCTTCTTCAGTTAAGACTTCAACTGTAAATTTCTTTTGAGCATTCATATCGTTGCATACATTATCAAATCTAGAAGTCAGCAAAATTTTGCAACCTCTATGACCATCTCCAAATGGAATTCCTATGTCATTCAGTTCGAGACGCTTCCAAACATCGTCCAATATGACAAGGATTCTATTGGTGCGCCTTAGTCTTTCACACAGTCGATTTGCTCTTCCACGTTCAGTCTCCTCCTCAAATTTCAAACCCAAATTATCTCCAATTTCACCTTGAATCTTTCTTTCATTAGGACTTTGGGACACTACAGCCATCACAACCTCATCAAACAATTTCAATTCTTTTGCTCTTTTGGCAACTTCTTTCACCATTGTTGTCTTACCAACACCTCCCATCCCACATATTGTAATCATGTGGAATCTATCATCCTTCAGTGCCTCCATGACATCGTTCATAATCAATCTTCTAGATTCAAAAAGCTTAATACCTTCAGTGGATGTGAATTCTATCCCAGGTAGAGGCTCGTTGTAGGCCACTTCCGTCAGTTTCCTCTCTTCGTGCAACTGAGCCACCTCTTTTGCCTTGTTGGTTGCTTTCTTACTGAGCGAGTAACGTAACGGCAGGTTTGGACACCACCCATATAGACACCCTTTGCTTGCTTCAACTTCATCTTTTAGAATTTCTCTGGCCTCTATGCGGCATTTATCAACCCTTTCCAGCCACCCCTTAACATCAGGTCCGATACGTTTTACATTTCTTTTTGCTTCATCAACTGATAGCTGCATTGCATCTCTTTTCTCATCCAACTTCTTGACTTCATCTTTCAGATTCTTGACCTTGCTTTTATAGGAAAATAGATAACCGAAATGACGGCCAACTGGAGCCATTAGAAATTCTCCAATCTTGCCTACAGTTGGACCGACAAAACCAACCCAACCAGTAGCCATTTCTCACTTCTATTTCAGTAATGTACCTCTCTCCCTGTTTCTTTTCTTTTCTTTTTTTTTTTTTCCCCTTTTTCTGGAATGCAATATGTAAAACTAGAAGAAAACAGACAACTATTGAAAACAGAATAGTAATTGTTGAACACAGACTTAAAATAGAGTGGCAGAGGAAGAGATTACAAAGATTTCTAGAACAAAAGAAGATATACAGAGATTTCTTTATCCTGGTAAGTAACAGTTGAACAAAGAGAAATACAATTTTGTAGAGGACATGAAGATATCAAAGGAACACTTTGCAAGAGGGGATCTAAAGTTTTTTTTTTTTTTGACAAGCAAGGTTGACTATAGAGAATTACAATATAATTGGACAAAGAGAACTTGTGTTGTAAAACAGAAATTGCAAAGAAGAAAGTGAGCTTAGTAAAATGAAAACAGAATGCAGAGAATACTGTTTTGGTAATTGTTCAACACAGAGTAAATAAAATAGAGTTGCAGAGGAGAAGATTACAAAGTTTCCTAAAATCAAAAGAGAATACAGGAATTTTTTTTTTTGTTTTTTCTGGTAAGCAACAGTGGAACACAGAGATTTATAATAAAACTGAAGACAGAAAGTAAGTTGAGATTTAAACAGAGAGAAATAATAGAATTGAAGTGGAAGTGAAGAAAGAAAAACCTTGGAAACTTTCCAGAGTGTCTTAGAGATGAAACATGCATAGCCTTAACAACTCAGTCGACGGTGAAGAGAAAAGCTTTTCACCAAAGACAAACAAGACCATTAACATCCATCAAAGAGAAACAATCAGGTTCAGAGAGGTTTTGAAGGAGAGTTTGAGGAGGAGAGAACATTTTGAGATCAGTACTATGCTCTTACATCTAAAATTATTATTATTTTTATTTTTATTTTATTTTATTTTTTTTGAGGGGGAACTTTAATCGTTGCTTGTGTCTTGGTCTTCGTTGCTTCCTGGCTTGTGTCTTGGTCTTTTGACTCGGTCCTTTCAAAATTTGCTTTGTGATATTTTAAAAAAAAGTTTTTTCGGTTATTTACCACACTGTAATCTAATTTAGCGAAGGGGAGGAAAGAACTGGCGGACCCAAGGGGGGCAACACTGCCCTGCAAACTATTTCAAAATTTTAGGTAATATTATACATTTACCCGTTTAGGACATGTTTGATTAATTAGAACATGAAATTAGCATTATTAATCTGTGAGCCCAATAATTCTGTATTTATTTTGAAATTTTGTTTCAGGACTATTAATCTAATGAATAATTAATTCAATAAATTTGTAAAATTATTAATAATGGGGTAGAGGTGGAATTATATATCTTGATCTAAGAAATAAAATAAAAAGACTATTTTACCTACTAATCCAATGCAAATTAAACAATGAACAAGAGGATAATTTATCCTACTAATCCAATTGGATTGTGAATACCACATTAATTTAATGAAATTATTAATACCTTCACTATTAGTCTTGTGAATCAAACATGGCCTTAGTTTACAATTTGTGAAGGGTTGGCCCCTATGAAAAAAAAAAAATCCCTTCTTCAAAGCCTCAAATTGCTTATATTCTTCAATTAGAGTTATGATCCCTCCATATGATATAATTTTTATTATATAAATAAAATAAAAAATAAATTCAAAATATTATGATAAATTACATTGACCTATTTGAGATTTAAAAAAAAGGTAAATTACACTAACACCTCCTGAGGTTTAATCTAATTACATTTCACCCATGTGGTTAATATTCTCATTTTACAATCTCTTCCTTATATAAAAAATAATAACTCTTAATAGAAAAATAGAGAAAATTATATTGAAAAAAAAATAAAACAAAGGATAGGAAAAAATAAATAAATAAAATAAGAAAAAAGAGAGTACATGAGTTTAATATTTTCTTTTCGTTTAAATAAGTATAATAACTAGAAGGTTAATGTAATTTTTTAAATATCAAAACATAATAAATATTAAACATAAGGGTGTAAGGGTAATATACCCTTGAAAAAATAAAAATACTAAGCCCGGCCCTGTGGATTGAGATGCTTTTCATGGTTCAAACGCATTAATCTCTGCATCTATTCATTGGACAAATACTTTTTTGCTTTCACGAAACACATCCATGTGATGCGGTGTCCCACTTTGCTTTTGTTTTACTTTTTGCTTTTGCTTTTACTTTTACTTTTGCTTTTCTTTTTCCATTTGATTAATGACTAGGGCCAAGTAAGGTTTAATTTGGTTTGATTTAAGAATAAAATTTTGTTTAGAAATATGTTATTTTAATAATTTTTTAATTTTTATAAAAAATAAAAAAATGATATAATTTAAAAAAGATAAAAAGATAAAATGTATGTGATTTTAGATTGTTCTCAAACAATCCGTAAATTAAAATTAAAATCAAATCATTATTGATGATTTTAGAAAATTTAGAATTAAATTAGATTATGAAAATTTTATAATCAAATCAATACTATGTTGATTGTTTTAATTTAAAATCACGAATTTTGATAGCATTGTCATTATTCATAAAATGATTATAAAATATTATTTATAATTTTAGGAAAGCAATGGCGGACAGGGGCAAACTACAAACTATTTCAAAATTTTAGGTAATATTATGCATTTATTCCTTTAAGGCATGTTTGATTGACATGATTAAAATATGAGATTATAATTATTAATCTGTGTGCTCAATAATCTTATATTTGTTTTGAAATTTTATTTTAGGATTATTAATCTATTGAATAATTAATCCAACAAATTTGTAGGATTATTAATATTGGGGTAAGGGTGGAATTATATATCCTAATCTAAGAAATAAAATAAAAAAGAAAAACTCTTTTACCTACTAATCCAATGCAAATCAAACAATGGATAAGAGGATAATTTATCCTACTAATCCAATTGAATAATGAATACCATATTAATTTAATAGAATTATTAATACCTTCACTATTAGTCTTGTGAATCGAACATGGCCTTAGTTTACAATTTGTGAAGGGTTGGCCCCTAGAAAGAGAAATAAAAAAATATCCTTCTTCAAAGCCTCAAATTGTTTCTATTATTCAATTAGAGTCATATTACAATACCGTATATAGTATGTAAATTATGATCCAAATGGATGCTAGTTTCAAATCATTGTGTCTATGAGACCAACAAATTATCAAATCAAATTAGTTTACGTCTTATTATGATGTTTGATTATATCTAGAAATAGTATTAGTTACGATTCATTGTGTTTTTTGGTTACTACTAAAATAATCATTAATTATGACTCAAATTGCTTTTAGTTATGATCCACATTTGTATGTTATTATTTTTAATTTTTTTTTTGTTTGCACAAGTGTAAAAAATACTTTATAATCCAATTTTGATACTTTTTTGTTTTTATTAATGAGTATTAGATTTTGATTAAAAAATTTATTTACAAATTTAATGATAAAGTTCAATTTTTATGTTTATAAAGTGAATTAACATACATATGAAACTTTGGTAAAAATGTACAAAAATTAATGTATAGTTAATTTTTAATTGTATAGAATTTGGCCTCCTCTTAACCAAATTTCTTGGCCGCCAATGAAAGTGAGACTCGAAACCTAGACCTAGGGTCGTAAAGGGGGTCCTTACCACTTGGGCTACCTTGTCTCTAAAAAAATAAAAAATAAAAATTTTTACTCAGGGCATGCCATCAATAAAAATCATATTGTTAAAATATTTATGATCCCTCCATATGATATAATTTTTATTATATAAATATACTATAAAATAAAATAAAAAATAAATTCAAAATATTATGATAAATTACATTGACCTATTTGAGATTTAAAAAAAGGGTAAATTGCACTGACACCTCCTGAGGTTTAATCTAATTACATTCCACCTATGTGGGTAATATTCTCATTTCACAAATCTCTTCCTTATATAAAAAGTAACAACTCTTAATAGAAAAATAGAGAAAATTACATTAAAATAAATAAATAAATAAAATAAGAACAGAGAGAGTATATGAGTTTAATATTTTCATTTCGTTTAAATAATTATAATAACTAAAAGGTTAGTATAATTTTCTAAATATTAAAAAATAATAAATATTAAACATAAACCTTAGGGCCCCGTTTGTTTTCAGAGATAGAATAGAGGGGATTGATAGTGAGGGGATTGTTAGTGAGGGGATTAATAGTGAGAGGATTGATAGTGAGAGGATTAATAGTGAGAAATTGTTAAATTATTTTTATATAAAATAATAAAACAAATAAAAAAATATAAAAATTAAACATTAATATTTTTAAAAAAAATTCCCAATATCTAAAAAATAAAAAATAAATAAAAAAATTTCTAATCCCCTCACTATTTTTCTAATATCATCTCTACCTCCTCACTATGAATTCTCCTTCCAAGGGTATTAGTAATACCAAAGTATTAGTAGTTCCAAGACCTTCTCTTAAAACAAATAAAGTATTAGTAATGTCAAAATATAATAAAACAAATAAAAAAATATAAAAATTAAACATTAATATTTTTAAAAAAAATTCCCAATATCTAAAAAATAAAAAATAAATAAAAAAATTTCTAATCCCCTCACTATTTTTCTAATATCATCTCTACCTCCTCACTATGAATTCTCCTTCCAATGGTATTAGTAATACCAAAGTATTAGTAGTTCCAAGACCTTCTCTTAAAACAAATAAAATATTAGTAATGTCAAAATATTAATAATTCTAATCCCCTTTCTATAATCCCAAACACACGGGACAAGAGTGTAAGGGTAATATTCCTTGAAAAAATGAACATACTAAACCCCGCTTCGTGGAACACATCCCATGTGATGCGGTGTCCCACTTTGCTTTTGTTACTTTTTGCTTTTGCTTTTGCTTTTGTTTTTCCATTTGATTAATTGTTACAGTAATGACTAGGGCCAAGTAAGGTTTAGTTTGGTTGGATTTAAGAATAAAATTTTGTTTAGAAATATGTTATTTTAATAATTTTTTAATTTTTATAAAAAAATATATAAAAAAAATAAAAAAGTGATATAATTTAAAAAAGATAAAAAGATAAAAAGGCAATGTTTGTGATTTTAGATTGTTCTCAAACAATCCGTAAATTAAAATTAAAATCAAATCATTATTGATGATTTTAGGAAATTTAGAATTAAATTAGATTATGAAAATTTTATAATCAAATCAATACTATGTTGATTGTTTCAATTTAAAATCACGAATTTTTATAACCTTGTCATTATTCATAAAATGATTATAAAATATTATGTATAATTTGTTCAAACACTAATATATCATCATTTTACAAATAAAAATATTTTAGATAATTATTTTAGAATTAATTTTACTACTATACAAAAACACTTATAAGAGTAAAAGGTTAATAACTTATGTATATAACTGAGATACTAATAAAATATTTGAGTGACTTATGTTATATAAAAAATTATGTATATATATATATTAAGAAAAAAAGGGTTTGGCTTTTCTCACGTTGTCATCTTAACTTGAGAGAACACTTGGGTTTAGTAGGCCCATTTTGGTGATTCAAACCGTTCACTTTTTAAGACTTCTTGAGTAAAAGATTCATTCAAAAAATTCAAAATAATTGGATATCGATAGCTATAAGTTTTATATCATATTTGTTATACAAAATGAATGATAGATATAACTTCAAGAATAGCCATTCATTTTTTCTAATGCAAATTTGATCCAAACATATAACTATCGATATCCGATAATCTTTATTTTTTGCATAAGTATTCTACTCAACGAGTTCTAAAAAATAAATAGTTTGAATTATTGAAATCGATTCTAAAATGAGTCTACTAAGTTCAAACGCTCTCTTAAGTTGAGATGACCAACTTGAGAGAAGTCAAACTCAAAGAGAAGAA